CTACTTTGGAGAAAATGGTTTTGTCTGTAGAAGTTACAACAATTCACTCTCTGTTCACATTGCTTTTTGCACTGCATTCTGTCAAGGCAAAAGACACTGAAAAGAGATTGCCTTGTATTAACTCCTGCAATCACATCGAGTTCCAATCACTTTATCACGTAATAAATTCTCGTTTAGACTCTTATATAAAACCGTCTATATGTGTAGTCCTCTTTTCCACATCGGCGAAAGTAGTTACATTATTTCACTATTTACCTTCGGTAGATGAATTTTTTTCTATTATTGGTATCAAAATGTCGATATCCAAATAATGATACTCATTGGTCGGTTTTCGACGTTCACACTGAGCACGGCTGCCACTTGTCGCAACCTCTAACCCGGCTTTTACCTAATGACGTATTAAGCATGTAAAAAGCCGTCACTTCGATTGGTACCAGATTTTCCAAAAAAGAAAAAGAAAATTAAAAAAGAACACCGGGATGCATTATGGTAATCCAGCCAGGATTCGCTCAAAACCCTCAAAAATCCCTATATAATCGAGTTTCCTCCGAGCCATTACTCTTCACTAACGCCCACCAAACGAAAAACCTTCGCCTCCAGTTTCATCGTATATTTAATTTTAACTAATTAATTCTCAAATCTCATAAACAAAAATGGTGCCTCCTCAAGGAAGGAAGAAGGCGCAAGGCCGCCGAAAGATCGATATAAAGCTGATCGAAGACGAGAACGCACGAACCGTAACTTTTTCCAAGCGACGTGCCGGGATTTTCAAGAAAGCGGCCGAGCTTTCAATCCTATGTGGCACCGAGATCGCCATCATAATCTTCTCCCACACTGGCCGAGCCTACTCGTTCGGCCACCCGAGCATTGAATCGGTTGCGGGCCGATTCTTCAACATGAACCCGCATCCAAACGCGCAAGGGCCCGATAACGACGAGCTGGCCCATCTCAAGGAGTTGTGTGAGCAGAGGGCCCAAGAGCTGGAGGACCAGAAGAGGAGAGCGAAAGAGCTGGAGGCAGAGCTGGAGAGGTCGGGTTTGACTGACGAGCAATTGGGTCGGGTTGACTTTGACCGACTCAAGGATATCAAGGAGAAGATGGTGAAGCTGAGGGACAGTATGATTAGGAGGTTGGCTCAGGATGAGGCGGGGCCCTCGGGTTTGGGTACAATTGGTGCTGCTAATGGTACTACTGTTTTTGTTGCTGATGCTGATGATATTGATCTGGAGAAAGAAGAGAAAGAAGAAAGAGAGTGGTGTGGTGATTCTGGGATTCCGGCTGACTGGCTGAAGCTGTGATTTTTTGCGAGTTTGTTTGTTTGGGGTTTTTTAATGTTTGAATTAATAATGCGATTTTTTTTTTCGCACTAAATTGAAATAAAAGTCGTGTTGCCTTTTACGTTTGGTGATCTTGTGTTTTGCGTTGTGTTGCTTTATTGAACTTTTTGGTTAGAGTAAAGTTCATTTTCTTTTTTCGTTTTGTGAACAGGTGAGAATTCGAAACTTTCTTTTTTTTTTGGCACAATCGAAAGATTTTTTTCTCGATTGTGCAAAAAGAAAAATCGCACTATAATCGTGCAATACGATTATGCAATGACCATATTATATGCATGATTGCACAATGGTCACACAATATGATCACACAATGATCATACCATATATATTATTGCATCGCATGATCGCACAAATTGATCGTACTTTTGAAAAACATAACTTCTCAATTGGCAAGTTGAACAGCTTAGTGCACTTATATTTCGAGTTTGGGTACAATTGCTAGTGATACTGTTTTTGTTGCTGATGCTAATGATATTGATATGGAGAAAGAAGAAAGGGACTGGTGTGGTGTATTTGGGATATTGGCCGACTGGCTGAAGCTGTGATTTTTGGGAGTTGTTGTTTGGCTTTCTTTTTTGGATAAAAAGTATAAGAACTGGTGGTTTGTCTGAATAATGCGATATTTTCGCACGAAGTTGAAATAAAAGATGTGTTGCCTTTTGTGCTTGGCAATCTTGTGTTTGCATTGTGTTCCTTTATTGAACTTTTGTTTTTCCGTTTTTTGGTTTCGTAAATTAAATTTTATTCTATACACCAAATATTCTAAACACTTTTTTCTAACCCCAGATTGTGCGAAAAAAAATTGCACAATGACCACATTATATGCATGATCGCACAATGGGAGCACAATGACCATATTATAAGCATGATCGCACTATAGTTGCACAATGACCGCATTATATGCATATTTGCAGAATGGCCGCAAAATCGATCGCATGATGATTGCACAATGGTCGCGTAATGATCATACAATCGATCGCACTTCGTGGGGGGTGAAAACCAAAACTTTTCATTGATTAGGGAGAAAAACTTAGTGCACTTATATTTCGAGGTGAAAGTAGATATTCACTTTTTTGAGCCAGCTTCCACAATAAACATACCAATAAACATATGAAAACTTTTAGCTACGGAAACATAATGGATGATATAGAATTGGCATAATACTAGTGTTCTAAGCTCGGGTTAGGCGCCGCCTAAGCGGCACCTGCATTCTGATTTCTATGCGGCCTTTTTAGGCACACTATAGACAAGCTAGACGACACGCCTAAGCATTCCAGACAGGCTAGGCAATTTGGCCTTTTTTAAACTTAGTGAATGACTGATATCTAATTAAATTAGCGGATAGTGTTTCAAACCCTTAACGAATAGTAAATAACTGACTGAATTAACGGACAGTGGATTCAACTTTTTTCAAATCATCGTTACTGTAAGAAACGGGGAGAAAAACGGGTGCAGTCTCACGCACGTGAAGCACACCATAAGCATGGAAAACACTGATGAAGCCCAAGTGAGGTTTTATCCCAAAACCAATTGGTGATGGGAGGAGTAGCCCACTAGACTTATATACTATACTCATTTACCCTGTAGAATCAATGTAGAACAACTCACAAGTGATATCCCAACACGCCCCCTCACTTGTGAGTTCTTCGTAAGCCCAAACCCACATAGTGGGCCGGGTAGAGAGTAAGTCCAAGCCCAGAGCAGGCCGGATAGAGAAAATCATTGCAGGTCCTAAGACAAGCGCACTCTATACCATATAAGAAATGGTGGGAAAACGAATGCGGTCTCACGCACGTGAAGCGCACCATAACAGGGAAAAACCCATATTAAGCTCAAGTGGGGTTTCATCCCAAAATCAATTATAAATTAAGTAAAATTATTATTACACTTGATTAATGTACAATGTAACGGTTTTCTTCTACAGGAAAAATTTTATGATTTATATTTAATTGGTCAAGTATTATAGAATAGCTATGGATGAAGCGATTTCTAAATAAACTTAGACGCACCGAAAAAATAGGAAATATTGATATATATATATATATATATATATATATATATATATATATAGGCGGATCAAATGCGGTCGGCTCTTAAAATGCGCCCAGCTCTTAAAGTGCGGACAACTCTTAGCAACTACAGACAACTAACCTAGTAACTACCGAGAACTAACCTAGCAACTACAGAGAACTAACCTAGCAACTACTAACTTAGCAACTACAGAAAACTAACTTAGCAACTACAGAGAACTAACCTAGCAACTACAGACAACTAACCTAGCAACTACAGACAACTAACCTAGCAACTACAAAGAACTAACTTAACAACTACAGACTAACCTAGCAACTACAAAGAACTAACCTAGCAACTACAGACAACTAACCTAGCAACTATTGAGAACTAACCTAGCAACTACAGAGAACTAACCTAGCAACCACTAACCTAACAGTTACAGACAACTAACATAGCAACTACAGAGAACTAGCCTAGTAACTACATAGAACTAACCTAGTTGAAAGGTTATTTGTCAACGGTCAGCGCTGAAAGTCAACGGTCAACGCCAGAGTCAACGGGTCAAAATAATATTTAAATAATTAAAATAATAAAAAGAAAAGAGTAAATCTTAGTCACACATGATGTACCAAATCTTGTGGTTAAAAATGAGTCTCACGTACTCACTTTAAATAAGTGAATGCATTGGAACCAATCTATATATATATATATATATATATATATATATATATAAACAACCAAAAGTTGATATTTAAAATAAAAAAAAGTGTATATAAAGGAAGGATATACATATACATAATTTTATTGATATAATAGTGTTTATACATTTACTTTCGAAGTGAATCCCATTACATATGAACACCATATGGTAAATTAAATTATGTAGCACAGAAAAATCATTTTTTATATTACGATATATGATATTTTATACTGATAATCATGTTACGCCTTATCAAAAAGTTTCCAAAAAGAAAAGATGTGCTTACCTTTGTTTCTCATTGTGTAAATATAATGTTACACAATTCAATCATTATGTAAATTATTAATATTTATTTAAGTAATCAGAGAATATGGAATAGTTTACTTGTATATATAAAATTGGCTTCATAATAGAGTCAACTGTTGACTTCATAGCAAAACTGTACAATTCATAATCTCATTGCGTAAATCATGTTACCCAATCTATTATGAATTTTATAATTTTCTCGATACTCTATAGAACTAATGAGCTCACTTTCGATAGGCCGGCCCAACTATTACATCAGTCAATGGGCTTATGAAATCAAGTGTCACTAGTAAAAATAAAGACACTCCTTGCCCTTTTCAAATTAGTTTTCACGTTAATGAAAGCTTTTATTATTAAGTCCACAGTCCTGAACCAAAATTACACTGAATTGAAATATTTGAAAAATGTAGTGTCACATATAATTTGTTTTTTGTGTAAAAATTAGTTATAAGAAGCACGTCTTACTTCCAAATGTTTGATAAAACTAATTTTTTGTTACTGGTTTCTCCAAATTAGGTGATAAAAAAAAGATTGATATGAATGTTGGTTCGAGTTTTGTTTCTCATTTCACTGCAGTAGAGAGAAACAAGATTTTGACTAAAAAAAAANGACTAAAAAAAAAAAAAGAGGGAAAATCAAGTCTTGGTGTAAATACTAAATACTATTGCACAATAAATTACACAGATGCAAAGTTAGAAAAAAGGTAACATCTACAATTACAAGCTACATGTACCATTACTACAAATTTTATCCATCAAAATCTGAGTCATCACCGAAGTATGAATCATCCTCATCAAACTCCCCACATTCCTGCAAATGGTTTTAATCATGTAAGGAGAAATAGCAGTAATGACCTATCTCGTCTCATGAGATGAAATATACCAAGAACAGCAAAGATGAGAAAAGCAATACATTTGTTTACCTTTCTTTTAATGAATTCTGTCATAGCAAGATCGAACTCTGCTCGTTTTTCTGTGGCAATATCGTAGTATTGCACCTTTTCCTAAGACCAGAATTGTCAAACATCAGATTAAGAGAACTCAAAACATCCATTTACGACTGAGTATAATCGCAATGCTAACATCCATTTAGTCTACTCTCATTATTTTTTTTCAACAAGGTACTATCATAATTTTCATAAGGATATGAAATATATAAAAAGCGGTGCAGACGAGTAAGATCTTTAGCAGTGTCTTGTTAAATAAAATAAATAAATGAAAACTGAATAAGATTTTAGCAAATGTTTTTTTGTTAAATAAATAACTAACTGAAAACATCCGATTGCAAACCTCGTATGTCATTGTTTTCCACTTCTCTCCACACGCTTTGCCANCCAAAAAAAAAAAAAAAAGTAATCGTTTGAATATGAAGATAATTATCAGCAACCAATACCTAAATTAAAGGATTTGATAAAACGATCTACGGTACTACGTACATCGCGCATTGACTTAATATCTGGATTTTCCTCTTTAAAATCCTTACGAAAATCCTCCCTGAAACGTTTAAAATTAAAAGGGAATGTATCATTAAGATATGACACTGCAAAACAGTGCTTCCATTTCAAAGGGAACTACAAAACCATCAACTAGTTCTTATGAAGAATGTAAACAAAAAATGTACAACGTCATTAAGCCTGTCGATGGGAAGCCATACTTTTTCGACAAATATGCATACTTTCAAATTGAAATGTCATTTGCTAAAAAACAACATAAACAAAAGTATAAACATTTTGAAGCATAAGTATGCATATTTGTTAGATAAGTATGATTGATCGACCCGTCTAATGGTTAAGCCATCCCACACAAGAATATGTGTATGAAGAATGTAAACCAAATATGTGTGGACACAAGATAACAAATTGAAATTCAGCTTCTTCTTTGCCACATTCTACCGAGCTCCACACGAACAACACATTCAAAATAAATGAAGAAAAATGTAACTTTCTTTTTTGGAAAGGTAACTTTTTAACCCCTCACAAATTATGTTGAAGCACATCCCTTCTCATGTATATCCGAATTGAATAATAAAAGAAAAAACAGTTTGATCGATGAAAAGTGGCTGATTTCCAAAATTTGGACACAAGAGAGAACAATGTGAATACAAAACACAAAATTCGATCAAGCACGAAAGTAAATTCGAAAGAATCCACACAAACAAAGCAAAAAATGCGTACATGAAATAGAAAAAAGCCGTGGGAGGCTTTTTAGGTTTAATGGAGTCGATTTTCGCTGGCCTTTTTTTCGCGGCGGCTTTGGCCCTCCGCCCAGACTTCTTCATGTTCACAGAATTCACCGTCGGAGCAATCTCACTGAAATCACAGTAACAAAGAAGAAGAAAAGTACTCGTTAGTTAGAAATTGAGTGTGCAGCAGCAAACGAAATGAAAAGAGGTTCAAGTTCATGTTCTTTCATTACCCATTGGTTTTGGTGGAAGTTGAAGCCGAGGAGGAGTTTCTGGACCTCGTGGAGCTTCTCGTCAACATAGTGCCGACGCTATGGCGGCGGCCGGAGGAGCAAACTGCAGCGGCGCGTGGATTGTTGGTGGGAGTGAGAGTGGTGAACAAAACTACGAAAGCCCCACTCGGCGTGTACCGATGATAATCTGTATAGTAAGCAAAGGTACCTTTTTTTCATATTCTTGGGCTTTTGTTCGAGCGTGTGTTGATTTAATATTAATTAATAAACTATATAATATTGTAAATAAGATGTTTGTATGTTAAAGGGAGATTTTCACCTATACTACACCTTTTTTAAATATTTGCACCTTTACCTCTCCTACCAATTAAATTGTGTTTATACCTAAAAAACAAAAAAGTAATTAAATTGATGCCTAAAATCAGTTACACCATATGGAACAAACTTTCCATATTTCTAGCCCTTAATTTTAGCTCTCAAGATGGAAGAATATCATATTTGAATTGTCAATTCATAATATTTTACAGATACGGATGGGACAAAATAAAGAAACACACGCCGCCGATCTCCAAGCTGCGACCACCCAGGTGCGCCGCGACACCATCACCATCATCTCGTCATCTCCTCCTTCGCCATCCTCCGAGCGACGCGCAGACCAATCGCCGGCGAGCCCCTCCGCCGCGCAGTCTCTGCAAATCTGATGCCGCGAGCCTCTCGCCGGCGAGTATCCTCCGAGTGGACCTGCGAATTTCGATCAGAACCAGTCGCGAGCCCTCTGCGACGAGACCCCAGCAACGCCACAACCCGCTCTCCTCCCACGCCTTGAGTCGCTGCCCAGCGCCGCCTCCATCTCGCGAAGAATTCCGGCGACCCTTGTTCACGCGTGAATTGCGGCTTCCGGCGAACCCTGTCACGACCAGACGCCGCGACCAGCCTCTTCCTCCGGCGATTAGGACCGCCGCGAGCAGACCCCGCGAGCCGTCGT